TTGCGATATCCAAACACCCACACACATTACTTCTCATTCGTCCTTCTTTACATCTTCTCTGAATCTAAGCAGGTGTGTTACTTTACTTATTTGAGCATTTAATGGTGCGTGTTTTGTTCTGGTTTGAACTTTTTGTATTCATTTATAAACTGAATAGCAATTGAGTGTCAGTTTTTTTGTTTTGTGCTCATGTTCCCTACCCCTCTTTTATTTGTGCTAAATTGTTACTTAATTTGGTAGGTAGTTCTTTTTATTTCTAACAGTTGGGGGGGGGGGGTTGCCAATCATCCTATGCGGGTGCAAAATGTACTTTTTTGTTTGGGTGGTGGGTGGGGCGTTAAACAATCATGAAGGCTGGTTTCTTATAAGGAGGCAGAATATGGTATTTTATTGGATCTGTCAAATGTAAATTTAACAACAGGGCTAGGCAGCTTGGGTTTGTATAAATATTTCTTCCCTAGTTTCAAACATGCATTGGGCAGCTTTGGGTTAATTAGTTTGTTTGTATATTGGCATGGGGATATCCACTTAAAATGATATCCGCGCTTGTTTGTAGATTATGAGGGGTTCTCTGTTGGTTGAATTGTCACTTTGTAATTATTGGGGTTCCCGCAAACATGAACTATTTGTCTCTGCTGAATTTGTTGATTTTTTAAAAATAATTATCAACATTAATTTTTTTTAATAAATAATATACTCCAAAGTATTTGTAAAATCGGCCCTTTTTTAATCTTTTGAGTGTTTTTATTTGTGAACCAAGCAGGAAGTGATCCAAGAACAGATCACAAGAGTCCTATTGGAGCGCCTAATTGTCAACAGACCTCATCCATGGGGGCTTCTTATCACTTTCATTGAGCTGATAAAGGTATGCCGTTAAAACTCTTCACTTCTACTTAAAAGTGCCACAGAAAAGTTGATTCGTTTTTTGCATATTGGTAACTCGTAGAGGTGATGATTGTTCATTTAATGCTATCCACTCTGACCCGCACGACCGTGTCATCCACATTTTACACCAAATGCCTTGTCCATTTACATGCAATATTTATCCATTCATATGAGATGCATGAATCAATATATATACAGCCATTGTCATTTAAGATGATACCTAGCCACCTTCTAAAGAACTCTTTTTTTATAAGAGCTTAACTTGTTCACCACTTTTCTTTTGGCATCGGATTTACACTACGTTTGGTTCAAGGAATTTGGAAGGAAAAGAAAAGAAAATGACTTTCTCTCATTTTCCTCACCAAAATGAGAGGAATTTGGTTTTCCCCCTATTTAGTATATTTTGCCTTCTCATTTCCTTTTCCTTTCACTTTTCCTTTCTTTTCCTCTCTAACCAAACAAGAAAAACTGGTTTCCACTTCTCTTTCAAATTCCTTGAACCAAACATAGTGTTAATGTCGTAATATTACACAAGGGGCCAATGGTGCTCTGTTGTGCTTGGGACCCCCCCCCCCCAAAAAAAAAACCT